ATCTCATGGGATATTTAATCTGTTCTCTGAAGTGTCACACTTTATTTAATAGCGTAAGAAAAAGTAGGATGTCACTTGTATTGTTACTGTTCAACCTTCGAAAACATATAGAGTGTATTCAAAGGATCTTGTACTATTCTAAAGTTGTTGTTGTGCTCCATTGTTGTCTTCAGAAACTGTTACACTTTGTCACTAAGATAACGAAGAGATTGGACATGCATCACCTGGAAAAAGTGTATGGCGTCATTATTCAGTGCATTTACAATCATCGAGAAGACTACGACAAAACCGATTTGGTGGAGGTAATTTTTGTTTTGAATTCTAGCACTTTCTGTCACTGTTAGGCAGTATTTGTGTGTTCTGGTTATCGTGGTTGTTTAGCATTGCTCTTTACTGCTTATCTGTCTGTGCACAGATGACAACAACAGTACGACTTCTCCCTTTCAGTCTGGAAGACGTTTATCCATCTTGCAAAACCATTGTTATATTTGGCATAATTGTTGGCAGTTTCTGCAGGAAAAAGCTTGAACTTGAAGACAACGGGTCCACCCACACAGCCCTTTCAAAGCAGTTAACTTTAGTCTGTCAGTAGTTTTCCTTGAGAACCATTTTGGGAGTGGGAGGACTATGAAGGGAAGGTGCTTTTCTAAGTCTTTCACTTGCTCTCTCCCTCTACAGCCAGTCATGCACGGTGATAGTGGTTGTTCCATCCTTGGAGAGAAATTTAAGTATATAACAAGAGTTTGAGACTTCTCTCTAGTCACACTCGAATCTCTTTTTAACTAATGCGCTTGAGCATCTGTCACTGGGGAGATTTCTGCCTGTGCCAGTTTTACACTGAGTCAAATTCTCTGGTCTCTTCCTGTAAAAGATGATTTCTGAGTTGTCCAAACTCCTCAGAAATCTGCGTGAGGCGTCCATGGTCCAAGTCAGGTGTTCCCGGTATACGCTGGATATTCACTCTTCACATTGAAGATCCTTGAACCCATTTATCTTAGAGTTGCTTGTGCTTAAGAACAGATAAAATGTGTTGTGCTGATCAGTCTGCCTTAAAAAGAGAGTGCCTCTTTTTTTTAGGCACTGGTCATCTCGATCTCTTTTTCCACATCTGATAAAGAGTTAGAACGCACACTCTGTTCTGCCTGTGAGAGGATTATTTAGATTCAGGGAGGCCACTCCTGAAAAAAAAAATGAGATCTTTTAGCTCGAGAAGGGATTTATTTATGTTATCTCATGGCCTGTGAACTTTTGTAACTTAACATTTAATTGAAGTATTAGAAGTTAAGTAGCTTTCTTGGTTTTCTATTTCTTCCTTTAGCTTAGGCAAACAAATCTCTCCTCTTCAGAGTGCACTGTACAAGTTAGTCAGGAGCGTGCTCTACTGTATGGAGAGAGAGAGAACTTAAGGAGTAATTATTCAAAGGCCAGAAATTAACTAGAGCTTGTTGTGGCTTCTCAGGAACTGTTTCTTCTTTCTAATTGTTGTGAAACCACTGCTGAGAGAGATCCATATAGTTGATATCCTCCTCTCTCTTTTGGATGTATAAGGATGCCTCTGAAGCTAGAAGGGGTAATAGGCCGTTGTGATGGTGGTAGCACACTGTTTGCTAAATATGACTAACCATGTATTACAAATTATTTATTTTTATAGTAATAGAAGGTGTTCTTAAGCTTTCATTTGTGCTTACTGCTATTTTGTCTTTTTTTTTCTTCCTAGGAAATTAAGAAAGAAATCTCAGCCTTCTGGTCCGACACGTAGTACAATTTAGTCAATAGTGTCTCATATAGGTATATAAAATTTCATATATAGGTATTTTAAGATATTTTAAACAAATTTGTTTATTTGACCTTTCTTCAATATACTTAAGTACTTTTATTTGATATTTTTGTTCTATATCTGTAGCTCTCTATTTATTATCCTATACATGCATATATATGTGTATGTATATAGCATGATAAATAGCAAGCTTGGCAGAAGGAATGGAATATACAGAGTCTCCTGAAATCACAGGACATGACTTTCATTTCCATTACACAACACCTTAATTTTCCATCTTCTTTTTATCGGAGCTACTGCTGACAGTGCCTGTGTAACACTGTAGATTTGAACGTCTTTCGGATACTGCCAATACCTCTTTTTAAAAGAAAATGACTGAAAACTGGATAGACTTTTAACGGACTTTGTCAGCTCTTCAGAATATATTTGTCTGAAGTAACCTGTGGTGCTCCGTATTCCACTGGACGCTACATAAATGTCTTAAAAGAAACCTATATATGAAATGCAAATCGTTCAGAAACCTCCTATTGCAGTTTAGTGCAGGAGGTATTTTTATGTCCTATAAAAACTTGTAAACCTCCTTGACCTTAGTGCAGGAGGTATCTATTTTTATAATTTACTGATAGCACCTTAAAGGGCTTTCATAGTATTAACATGCTAGAGAAAGTATGTGGGAGAAACACTTTCCACAAACACAAGGTTTTTGCCTATTAAAAGTAAACGACACAAACTGAAGCAAAGCAAGATTTGCTTATTGCAACTTTCTAGTGCAAAGCTAAGTCTTGCTTCTAACAATGACAGTGTTGCTGATACCAGAGAATGCCATTTTAATACGAAAAACTAGTTACAAGAAAGCCTTATAGTTGAATAAAATGTTTTCTACTGACCTGGAGATAATTATAGATATTTATTTTCATAAAAATGAATATATTGCTGGTGATAAATATATTTAAATAAACAGAAAGCAATATTCTGTTTGAAGGATACCTCTTCAACCCAGCAGAGAAAAATTTCTCTGAATTTCACAGATATTTAAGTTAAGGCAGGAAAGGTTTAATTTTTTTGAAAATAAGATTCTGTATCAGCTGTGCTAAAATACACAGCAGGATATGTTGCTGTTGTGTTGTCACATCTCGTACACAACACCTAGTGAAGGTGAATACCTAACTGTGCAATCTCTATGTCTGTTTTTCTTAAGAAAAAAGAAACACACGTGTAGCTTTTTAGCATCTGTCCCAATATCAGTGTAGTATTAAGAATTTTTTCTTTCATGTGTATTGTTTGGCTATGTAATAATAAAAAGTGAGCCACCATCTGTTTTGTTGTTGTCGTTTTTTAATCTTACATTTAAAACTGTATAAACTTTTTTTAAAAAGCTTGTGAGCAGCTTACCCCATTCTTGTTGTCTTGGTTATATGTCAAAGGCAAACACAGGAGGAAGAAAAATATATATGGAGAATTTACATTTTAATGTATTATTACATTGAAAAGGTAATAAATGAGTCGACCTCCTTTTTCCTTAAATTATTCTTCAACTTGGTTAATGTCACAGATTTTTAGAACCACAGAACCATAGAATATCCCAAGCTAGAAGGGCCCCCTAAGGATCATCGAGTCCAGCTCCTGGCACTACACAGGTCTACCCCAAAATTCAGGCCGTGTGACTAAGAGCACAGTCCAAACGCTTCTTAAACTCCGACAGGCTTGGTGCAGCAACTGCTTCCCTGGGGAGCCTGTTCCAGTGTGCAACCACCCTCTCGGTGAAGAACCTCGTCCTGATGTCCAGCCCGAACCTCCCCTGCCTCAGCTTGGCACCATTCCCTCAGGTCCTGTCACTGGTCTCTAGAGGACAGCTTGGTGCCTGCCCCTCCACTCCCTCTCTGGGTACAGAACTGGCTGGAGGGCTGTGCCCAGTGGCTTGTGGCTAATTAAGTCCAGCTGGTGTCCCATTACAAGTGGTGCCCCCCAGGGGTCGGTACTGGGGCCTATCTTGTTTCATACCTTTATTGATGACCCAGATGAGGGGATGGAGCGTACCCTCAGTAAGGTGGCAGATGACACTGTCATGGTTCCGCTCGAGTGGGCAGCCGAGCTCCACCACAGCCGCTCTCTCCCTCCCCCTCCTCAAAGAGGAATGGGGAGAAAATATGTGAAAAGGGCTCAAAGGTTGAGATAAGGACGAGAAAATCACGCAGTAATGATTGTAAGGGGCATAACAGACTCGGCATAGGGAGGTAGTAAGATTTATTGCTTATTACTAACAAGCTAGAGAAGTGAGAAACAAAGGAAAGAAACCAAAAGCACCTTCCCCCCATCCACCCTCTTCCACCTTTTCCCCCTGAGCGGCGCGGGGGAATGGGGGTTATGGTCGGTCTACAGCGCTTCTCTGCCGCTCCTTCTCAGTCACTCTCGTCCCCTGTGCTGTGGGGTCCCACCCACGGGATGCAGTCCTTGATGAACTGATCCGGCGTGGGCTTCCCACAGGCAGCAGCTCTTCCAGAGCTGCTCCAGATATGGGTCCGTACCACGGGGTCCATCCCTCAGGAGGAAACTGCTCCAACCTGGCTCCTCCACGGGCAGCAGCTCCTGCCAGGTCACCTGCTCCTGCGTGGTCTCCTCTCCACGGGCTGCAGCGTGGAACCCTGCTCCACCGTGGTACTCCATGGGCTGCAGGGGAACATCCTGCTTCACCATGGTCCTCACCACAGGCCGCAGGGGACTTCTGCTCCGGCGCCTGGAGCACCTCTCCCCCTCCTTCTGTACTGACCTTGGCACCTGCAAGGCCGTTCCTCACTCCTCTCACTCTCCCAGCTGCTGTGTATCACAGCAATTTTTTCCCTGTCTTAAATCTGCTCTCACACAGGCGCAAAACAACATCGCTTATTGGCTCAGCTCTGGAAAACAGTGGGGCCCTTCCCAAACATGGGGCAGCTTCTAGATCCTTCTCACAGAAACCACCCCTATGGCCCCCTGCTACCAAAACCTTGCCACTACAGACACCAAGCTGGGAGATAGTGTCAACCTCCCTGAGGGTAGGACGGCCCTTCAGAGTGCCCTGGATAGGCCGGACTGCTGGGCTGAGTTGAATGGGGTGAGGTTTACCAAGGCCAAGTGCCGGGTCCTGCACTTTGGCCACAAGAGGCCCATGCAATGCCATAAGCTTGGGGCAGAGTGGCTAGAAAATTATGAAGAGGAAGGGGACCTGGGAGTGTTGATCGATGCTCGGCTGAACACAAGCCAGCTGTGTGCCCAGGTGGCCAAGAAGGCCAATGGCATCCTGGCCTGCATTAGAAATAGTGTAGCCAGCAGGAGCAGGGAGGTGATCGTCCCCCTGTGCTCTGCTCTGGTGAGGCCGCCCCTCAAGTGCTGTGCTCAGCTTTGGGCCCCTCAGTCCCAGAAGGACATCGAGGCCCTGGAGCGTGCCCAGAGCAGGGCCTGGGGCACAAGTCCTGTGAGGAGCGGCTGAGGGAGCCGGGGGTGGTTGGTGTGGGGAAGAGGAGGCTCAGAGGAGACCTCATTGCTCTCTGCAACTGCCTGAAAGGAAGCTGTGGGGAGCTGGGGGTCAGCCTCTGCTCACAGGTAACCAGTGATAGGACCAGAGGGAATGGCCTCAAGTTGTGCCAGGGGAGGTTCAGGCTGGAAATGAGGAGACATTTCTGCTCAGAAAGAGCAGTCAGGCACTGGGATGGGTTGCCCAGGGAGGTGGTGGAGTCCCCGTCCCTGGGGGTGTTCAGGAAGCGCCTGGACAAGGTGCACGAGATATGATTTAGTAGCTTAGTGGTAGTAATGGTAATAGAAGGATGGTTGGACTAGATGATCCTGTGGGTCCTTTCCAAGCTTGTGTTTCTATGATTCTTTCATGAGGAAGTTGTAGACCGCGATGAGGTCTCCCCTCAGCCTGCTCCTTTCCAGGCCTAACGGGCCCAGTGCCCTCAGCCGCTCCTCAGATGTCTTACCCTCAAGGCCCTTCACCATCTTTGTAGCTCTTCTCTGGACACTCTCCAACAGTTTAATGTTCTTTTTGTACTGTGGTGACCAGAACTGCACACAGTGCTCGAGGCGAGGCCGCACAGCGCAGAGCAGTGCAGGACAATCACCTCCCTCAACCGACTAGCAGTGCCGTGCTTGATGCACCCCAGGGTAGGGTTTGCCCTCCTGGCTGCCAGGGCACACTGCTGGCTCATACTCAACTTGCTGTCAACCACAACCCCCCTAGATCCGTCTCTGCAGGGCTGCTCTCCAGCATCTCATCGCCCAGTCTGTACATATAACTAGGGTTGCCCCGTCCCAGGTGCAGGACCCAGCACTTGCTCTTGTAAAACTTCATGCGGTTGGTGATCGCCCAGCTCTCCAATCTGTCCAGATCTCTCTGCAAGGCCTTTCCACCCTCAACAGTCAACAACTTCAAGTTGAGTGTCATCAGCAAATTTGCTCAAGACACCTTCTAGTCCTACATCCAAATTGTTTATAAAAGCATTGAAAAGAACTGGCCCTAAAACGGAGCCCTGGGGGACCCCACTGGTGACCAGCCACCAGCCTGATGTAGCCCCATTTACCATAACCCTCGGAGCCCTACCTGTCAGACATTGTTCACCCATTGTATGATGTTTTTTATCTATGCTTGACATTTTTAATGAGATTGTGTATATGGTTTGCTTATCTTGTTCTCTAAAATGACTTTTTGAGAAATCCTTTATATAATAAACATGAAGTTGAGGGATCACAGACAAGACAGGTGAAAATAACTTCTGAGGTGCTCAAAAGAGTACACACCATTAAAATATCCATTTGTGCTTCCTAGCTTTTTTCCTCATCTGTTAGAAGTGCATTGTCATCTTTCTCCTGTGACTGCATTCTACAGGGCTGAGTTTTTGGGATGCTAGCTAGCACTCCTGAGCACATTACTTCAGGTTTCTAGGCCGGTCTAATAAGCATCTTCCACCACTGAGGCACCAGTATGAATATGAACCAGTCCTTTTTGTTAGAATTGTAGGGGTTGGAAGGGACCTCCAGAGATCATCAGGTCCAACTCCCCTGCCAAAGCAGGTTCCTTAGAGCAGGTTGCCCAGGTAGGTGTCCAGACGGGCCTTGAATATCTCCAGAGAAGGAGACCCCACAACCTCCCTGGGCAGCCTGTCCCAGTGCTCCGTCACCCTCACCGTGAAGAAGATCTTCTGCATGTTGGTGTGGAGCTTCCTGGGCTCCATTTTGTGGCCATTGCCCCTTGTCCTGTCCCCACAAACCACTGAAAAGAGGTTGGCCAAATCCCTCTGTCCACCACATCTCAGATATTTATACACATTGAGGAGATCCCCTCTCAGTCTTTTCTCCAGGCTGAACAGCCCCAGGTCTCTCAGCCTTTCCTCACAGGGGAGATGCTCCAGGCCCCATTATCGTCTTTGTTGCCCTCCGCTGGACTCTTTCCAGGAGACCCCTGTCTTTTTTGTACTGGGGAGCCCAGAACTGCTGGACACAGTACTCCAAGTCTAACTTTTCTCAGTTGTTTCAGGATCTATCTATGCCATATAAACCATGGAGCTTTCTAGGCAAACACTGGCAAATCGTGAGCCAGGTGCAACTCAATGCTGATGTTTCCGTCAGTGTGTTAGGGGTGGCAGCCTTTTCCAAGACTGACCTATGCCTGGCACCTAATCTTCCACGTTTCAGTAGATGTACAGAAGGGAACAAAGAGCTGTGTTGTTAGCACTGTATTTATAAAGCTACCGTGAAGAAGATGCCTGTGTTGAGCGGACAACAGGAAGCTTTCATTGCATCTCCAGACAAATTAGAGGAAAAAAAAAGTATCACTGAGGCAAAAATGTGTTTCTTCTTATCCACTTCAAGATGATGTTGAAAACCTGGTATCCTAAATGCATCTTTACCTATGGAACCACAGTCAGCTCATTGCATTGCAACCGGAAAATTTCATACTTAAAAGGGAATGACAGGCAATGAGGAAGCAGGAGCGTTCCTGGCATCAAAACTTTTGCTCTTCAAAGTTTTGGGCAAACTTCTCCCTGTTATTAGTCTGGAGAGAAGACCTTCACAGTTAAAAAAAAATATATATATAAAGGTGTAAATCTCGGATCTACATGAACAGCTGTCACAGCTAAGGGTTCCCAGAAGCCCCATTCTGTTTTTTCTGACTTGGGGAAAAGATCAACTTTTAGCGTCTGAGGTAAAAACATTGCTAAAAGCAGCAGTATGTGGAAACACAGCGTATTGAAGAGAAGTATGTAGTGGGAGTTAAAGCGAAGCGTAGACTAAGATATCTGGACACGTATTGAAGGAAGAGCTCCTCTTTATTCAACTTGGAGGTGGACAAAAAGGGGTTGGGGTTGGGTTTTTTGTTTGTTTGCTCTTTGTTTGTTTTTTTCTCCAAAGGCTTTGGGGGTGTCCCAGCCAGCCCCGGAGGGCATTCCTCCCTCAGCACCGGGCACCTGAGGGGAACTCGGGGCTGGAGAAGAAGCCGAGGGATGGCAGCCGGGCGCCCTCAGCGCCTTTATGCCTTGAGCCGAGCCGAGCCGAGCCGGGCCGGGCCGGCCGCCGCCTGCCGGGCGGAGCGGCTCCGCCCCGCTCCCTGCCGGGGGAGGCTGAGGCACCGCGGCCCGCCGCTGCCCGGCCCTCCCCGGCTCTCAAAGCCTCCCGGGGAGGGGGGGGGAGGCTGCGAGGCGCCGGGAGGATGCGAGTGGGCGCCGCGGGCGGCGAGGCGAGGGCCCGGGCGGCCGGCGGAGCTGGGACTCGGCGGCGGCTCAGCGCCCGCCCCGCCGGCAGCGGACGACTCCCGGAGACGCAAAATGGCGGCGGCGGAGGAGGAGGCAGGCGGCGGGGCTGAGAGGAGAGGAGAGGGGGGCGAGGCGGCTGCGGGGGGCGACCCCAAGCGGCCACGGGAGACCCCTGGGGAGAAGGCGAGGCGCTCCCCCGGCCGGCCCTGAGGAGAGGGGGCGGCTGCGAGCACCCCTTCCCCGGCTCCGTGAGGGGGGAACGGGGCGCGGTGGGGCGGCGGCGCCCCGCCTCGTCGCCCTCCTCCTCCTCATTGTCTGGCGGCCCCCGGGGGGGGATAAACGAGGCTGTGACAGAGCCGGGGGGATGGGGGGCACACGGGCAGGGCGAGCAACTTCGCTTTCCGTGCCTTGAAACGGGACGGAGCCAGCCGAGACCGGGCTCCCCCCCCCCTCTCTATACACACACACGCTCGGTGTGGCGGTGGGAGGGGAGCGGGGCCATGTCCCCAGCCCTGCCGGGGGTTTTTGGGGTGCCGGGGGCCGCCCTGACGCCCGGCTGTCCCCCAGGTGCTGCGCGGCGCTGGAGATCGGCACCCGGCGGGGCGAGGCGCCTAATGGAGGCGGCGGCGGGGCGCTGAGGGAGCGGAGAGGCTGCGGCTGTCAGCGCTGCCCGGTAGGTGCTGGGGCTCCCCGTCAGGCTTGACGGAGGAGTTTGGCTTCGTTGAAGGGTGAGTCAAGGCTGAGGTGGCGGTCCCAGCCGGGACAGGCGCCGCAGAGAGCGCCTTGGGGCTGTCAAAGTGCGCGGCGATCCGTGCAAAGGGGGGCTTTGTTGTGGAAGTGCTGAGGTGAGGACGAGCAGCCCGCTGGAGGGGGAGAGGAGAGGGGAGTTTGGAAAGCTGCGCTGCTGGTGTGAAGCAGCAGCCTGTGCTGTGGTGGTGTTTGCTCAGAGGGGTTTCACGCACGAGGAGCTGGTGGGTGCTCTGAGGAACCTGGTCCAGCTGTGGAGAACAACCTGTATGAGGCAAAGCCCAGGACCCAAATACCATAGGCCGTAAGTCCAAACCTCCCCGAACAAGCAGACATCATGTAGAAAACCCATTTGTTACCGTCTTTAAACATTGCCAGCAAGGCAGCCTCTTCCAGTTACGCTGTTAATTGGGTTCCCCGGAGCTCGTTAGAAGGAGGTGCCATTTTTTCTAACCGAGGTGACTGCTAACTTCAGGCTGGCAGTCCTCCTAGCTTTCCTCAGCCAAAAAGCCCTTTGCATTTCGGTAAAGCACCTGTGCACTGTGCTTGTTTAACAAAGACAAGTTTGGGACATAACACTTGGAGGTAGGGCACGCATTCTCTTTGTGAGGCTTTCCTACTCCTTTAATGCTTCTTGTGGCTCTCCTGAGCTCTCTCTTCTCTTGCCAAGCCCTCGATGACCTGTGCCTGCTTCAGCTGCATCCAGTGCTCCGTTTGCTAGCCGTAATTGTTGTCATTTATCTCTGCTGGTTATTATTGGGAAAGACGATGTTTATCGCTGCGTGTCCATGTGTCCTTGGAGCCTGTTAGAGCTGGCTTTTGAACTGTTCTGCCTTTTGTAAATTTCTCCACGCTGAAGAATTTCTGTCAAGTGATGGACTTTGTGCTGTTGTTAGGGTTCCTTTTGTTCCTAATGTACCAAAAAGGCTGTTTCCTTGGGTCTTTTGCTTCCCTTAGCAGTTTGTGATGTTTCACTTAGCCTTATTACTATCCTTGAGCTGTTTTTCCACCAGTCACTTACAAAGCCTGAGGGACAGGATTAATTTTTTTTTTTTTTTTATCTAGTTACCATTAACATAAATGATCTTTTTGTTTGGATGTGACTTCTGAATTCATAACAGTCTTACTTCAAAGATCTACGACTGGTTTTGAAGTCTGATGCTTTCTTCAAGTTTGAGTTGAGAATTTCTTCCATCTTTATGGAACTAACTTCTAAAGCAGCAAGTCAGTGTAAACTGTTTTTCTAGTTCTGTTTGCACATAATAAATATAACCGAGGCATACTCGCTTGTGGCTGAGCTATGGCCAATCTCTATTTCTATGGTCAGTTTCTCTTTGTGTCTCAAGGCTGAAGTCTAGCTGAGAATTCCCCCGTGCCAGATGCAGTGTTTTTATATTATGAAATTAGCCTCTCTAATTTTCAGAAATCCTGAGCCTGTTGCAAAATTGACAGAACGAGCTCTTTGGGGTCTGTTTAATAGAAGTCCTCCATGATAAGTTTTGGGGTGATGAGGGGAGGGGACGTTCTGGCCACGTTTGGCTGAGTGCAGGAGGGCCTGGACGCGCTGTTCCCTTCTGTGAACTCACGGTCGGTATTCCCTCTCCGTCCTGTGCCAGAGACGTGAGGTCACTGATCCATAAATGCCCGAGATGGTTTGCCTCGGAGTTGCCGGTGACTTGTAAACAAGTGATGCAATTTTCAGGATAGCACCGTTTCCCCTCCTCCCTTTGTTTCCTCACTATTTCCCAGTCAGGTACCAGTATCAGTGTTCAAGTCCGGCTGTCTGTTGTCTCACCTTTGCCGAGTGTATGCTCATAGGAATCCAGTTTTGTGGTGTTATTAATTAACTTTCTGACACTGTCACATCAGGCACTAAAGGTGATTCCTCCTGCAGTCTACACAAGAGATGCGATGACTCAAGTTTTCAACATCTTTATTGTCATTGGTAGTATTCTGATTTTCATCTTTGATTGCAGTTCATCATGTTAGTTTGGTTTGGTTTCGGTTTGGTTTGTGGTTTCGTTGTTGGTTTTTGGGGTAGCTCAGGGCCTCCTGAAATACTCCAACCACTCTGCTGCATAAACAGTTGTTTCTTTTTCTGTGGAGGTGGGAGCCACCAAAAATGCCTCATTTCCTTATCCTGTAGCAGCCAGATGGCATTTCATAATGCTGCGCCGTGCCTCCCTTTGGCTGATGGTTCATTTCCAGTTCTCTTGTCTTTCTGAGAGCTGGAAGGAACCACACCAGGACCCCTCACCTCTTTTCGTGTACCCTTCAGAGTGCAGCGAGCTGCAAGGTGTTGCATAAAGCAGCATCTCTGCTTCCAGGGGATCCTTTCTACCCAGCTCTGGAAGTCAGCCCAAAGGGAGCGCATGGCTGCTGTTGTGGGAGAACGTGAAGGGAAAAACAGGCAAGAACTCTGAACACGTTGCTACTAGCTCTTAAAAGACCTTGGAGATAGATCATGGAGAGCTTAATGATGCAAACACACTTTGAAAGTTTGACTTCTGCTTGCACCTAGCAGGTCCAGAAGAGCTCACTTCCAAAAAAAAAACAGGCTTCCAGTTGTGTTTGGAGCTGTTCCAGAAAGCCACTTGGTGTTGTAGGTTCTTGGGTGTCTTGGCCTTCTTGACCCACAGCTTGAAGCTGCTGCTGGAGCCAGCAGGGAGCTCCTGGACTTTGTCATGGTTCTGGCAAAGGCTGCAGGTGTTCAGCGCCCTGAATCTTCAGAGCATCTCAAGCCACAGATAGTTTGTGAGACCAGAAAGAGCTGCGGGCTTATAATGAGTTCTGTGACTTAGGCGCACGGTTTGTAGAGGTTTTAAGGCGGAGTGCATGAGTGCCAGGCTCCTGTATGGTCACTGGGACAAAACGAGATCTGGGCATGTTGGATGTCCTAAAAAGAGTAGAGGGGAGACAATCGGGGAGGAGATGTGGCTCTTCTTGGCCTTGTTTAACCCCCAGCCCCTCTACACCCCACAAACCTTAGTTACAGCTGTGGGCTTCTGCAGAACATCACAATTCCTAGAAAATCTTCGGGATATACTTTAAAAGCAGGAAAATACTGTGTTGGTTTCTTTTTTTTTTTTGTATGCATAGGGCAGCTGCCAGCAGGAGCACCTGCTGGAGTTGAGGGTGCTGAGCAAGGCAGGGTCGTGTCCCGAGCAGCAGTCGCAAGGGGAGCTGAGCGGAGCCCGCCTGAAAACTTGGGGGGTTTCTGCTTCTCAGCAAGCCGAAACACAGCTCCCCATCCCCAGTACTCCTCGCTGTGAGGATGAGGACTGAGGAAGGCTCACCCTGCCTGCAGCTTCTTCAGTTCTTCATGCGGGGAACTTTTGGAGGAGCTGGTGCCTCGGGAAAGAAAGCACCTGTTGGTGCTGTGGGCATCCGAGTGTGATACTAACCCACGCAACGCTGCCCCTTGCATCTGACAGATGTTTTACAACTTCGACTTCTTTGCAGGTTTTACTTAAATTTGGTGGAGGAGGCTGTGGCTGAGCAGAGAACTAATTTGTTATTTCACTAACTGGAATAATTTAAAATGGAAAGAAACTTTTTTTAGTGAAAAGTTGTGTTTCTGATTACAACTTCGGGTCTCTTACCTTGCAGTCCACAAACGCTCTTTTGAAACTTGATTCCTGACAAGTCGCTTTTCTCAATTCTCGAGTTCTTGGACTCCACCAGGGGAAAAGGAAGGCCCTGCTAATACTGCTTGGTTGTTTCCTTCTGGAGGAAGGAGGGGAGAGTTGAGAAAAAGAGGAATGAAGTCAAATGAATTTACTCTTTGCACACGTGCTGAAAGAATAGGCAGGTGTTCTTGGGAATATCTCATTTAAATCTCTGTGTATGTGTTTCGAGAGGATGCATCCTCACTTAGAGGAGCCAACGTCCCATTGCTGGACCTCATCCTGATGGGGCTGGCATCTGAGGGTTAGGCGGGCTGCTCCCGGCAGGGCTCTTCCCACCCAGGGAGGCTGAGGGAGCCGGCCGAGCGCTGCTCCGCTGCCTGGAAAGATTCAGTCATTTCCACCCAAAGCGAGGAAATAAAAAGCTCGGTCAGCCATTTCATCTGGAGATACCCCGCCCTCCTCCAACAAATATGAAAAAGGGAAAATGTAGGCTTGGGCCCTCACATATCCCAGCAGTTTGCACCCATTCGGGCGATGCGACTGGGGTCGGGGCAGGCAAAATAGAAGTTACCTTTTTTTTTTTTTTTTTTTTTTTTCAAATTTCGGCAGAGGAAGTGATAAGGTTGATGTTGCCCCTTTGATATTTGATTTAACCCACTGACTGCCCGGGAAGGAAGGAGTCTGTTTAGTTTACCTTTGTCCTAGATTCAGTTTTAATATCTCATGTTTAAATGGGGGGGGGCTGATCTTTATTCTTAATGATTCATGCCGCCTCAAAGCACAGTGGTTTCTACTTGTGTGCTGCCTTTCCCACTGGGGGATGCAAACAAAAGAACAATAATTTCAGACTCCTCCTTCAGTTTCCAAGAGAACCTTAGCTGCTCAGGGATAGCTCTGAATTTTAAAAGCATTTTTTTCTTCCAAATTATGTATTGATTGCACATAAAATAGCAGCACCGTAATATGCAATTTAAAACAAATGCACGGGGGTGCTCGGTTGCTTTCAATGCTCCTCCTTTATTTTTATTTTATTTTTTTTCCTCCAGCAGAAAACAAAAAGTGGATTCTGTTCCCATAAGCTGCTCTTGCAAAATCCGCACAAACATTTATTAGTCTAGACACAAAATATTCTCAGCCGGCCTCAGCCTGATGATGGCAAAAAGAAATAAAAATAATAATAAAAAAAAAAAAAAAGAAAAGGCAAGCTAATATTGTACTTGGCTGTCAAAAGGGAAGGGGGGAATCATGCCCCAGGCTAGTGAAGCTGTAACATTTTGCTGGGGCTGCCTACAACAAC